GTGCATAATTAATGCAATGTTAAACAAAAATCTGCACACCAGTCAAGCCATAAGACTTGCTTTTCCCACAGAAATACCAAATCTGCAGTGATGTTTTGTTTAACAATATATATATATATATGTATATATATATATATATACAATTTGTAGGGGTTTTGCACTCCAGCTTTCCTCCTTGTAATTGCCCGGTGCTCAGCTGCACGAAAATACAACCAAAAGAAAGCCAGCACTCCAGGACTTGTATAAAAGATATGATAATCCAAACAGGGCCGGTGCAAGTTTTTTTGCCACCCTAGGCAAAAGTAAAGTTTGCCGCCCCCCCCACCCATGTGACATCACAATGCCCCACCCATATGATCTGCCATGTTAACTAACGCCAGTGCTGCAGTGCCGCCATGTTTACATTAAAAGGCCTGCAGGGACAGGCTATAGACACCAGAACCACTACATTAAGCTGCAGTGGTTCTGGGGACTATAGTGTTTCTTTAATGTGAGGTAAATTAGACATTAGTGCCACGAATAATATACTAGATTGCCTACTTACATCCAGATGAGGATGATGATGGGCTCTAGCTGCAGTCTGGCTCCCAGAAGATGACGTCATATTCCGGCTCCCAGCCTCACTCTGCTGGCGGCGCGCGAGGGAGCTGAGCAGAGCGCTCAGGGGAAGTGCTCCCTCGCCGGCCGCCCGCCCGCCCGCCCAGCGCTGCAGCCACTGGACCCCAGGGAGAGGAAGACCCCCCCCAGCATTACCAAAGGTAAGGAGGCTGGGGGGGGTTAAATAAAAAAACAAAAAAAAAACACATGTCTGTTAGTGTGTGTGTGTATGTATGTTAGTGTGTGTGATGTCTGTTAGTGTGTGTCTGTTAGTGTGTGTCTGTTAGTGTGTGTGTTGTGTTAGTGTGTCTGTTAGTGTGTCTGTTAGTGTTAGTGTGTGTTAGTGTGTGTTAGTGTGTGTGTCTGTTAGTGTTAGTGTTAGTGTGTATGTTAATGTTAGTGTATGTATGTTAGTGTTAGTGTGTGTGTGTCTGTTAGTGTGGATGTCTGTTAGTGTGGATGTCTGTTAGTGTGGATGTCTGTTAGTGTGTGTGTTTGCCTGTGAGTGTGTGTGTTTGCCTGTGAGTGTGTGTGTCTGTTAGTGAGTGTGTGTCTGTTAGTGACTGTGTGTTTCTGTTAGCTAGTGAATGCGTATCTGTCAGTGAATGTGTGTGTGTGTGTATTTAGAAGGCGGAGCAGGGGGGAAGGTTGGGTGGCGGTGGCGCGGGGGGGTGCCTGAGTTTTATCCTGCCTAGGGCAGCACAAAACCAGGATACACCACTGACTATGAGAGGTCTACCCACTGGAAGCTGGATCCTGGTCTTGGGTCCAGGGTGGGTGGAGGACAGCATGACCCCAACCAAGTTGCGGTGGTTTGTGGGGTTTACGGTAGTTATGGTGTTCCAGTGCAGTGCTCATGATGATCATAGGTACTAGGAAGTAGCAATTAATGGAGGTACCCGGTCGGGGTGCTAGACGGTCCATCACACATAGTATTAGGGATGGTTTGACATTATTGGTTTAACATTTACAGTTAGTGGTAGTATTTAAAGGACCTTATATAGCGTTAAATGGACATTGTAAGTACACACTCACCTTATCTTATTGAGAACTTATGGTGTATAGGGTATGTTATTTTGTCAGAATGGTGTAAATGATTTGACAAAAAACTGAGAGTTTTTTGGCCCACAGGGCATTCCCCTTTCACACAGGAAAGATTATGAGGAAGTGCACTTGCCATTTACCTTTTCATCACCCATAAATTGATGCACATTCTCAGTCACTGATAATGCAATGCCCCTAGCTACACCCAAGGCATATCTCTGATTATGCCTTTTCAAAAAATAAAGGAGACAATTTAACAAACACTGCTATGGCAGAAGCTCCTTACCCTTTCATGTTGACACTTCTTTACCTCTAATATTGCGTTCCTTAGAACAGCTGATTCGCTTCCTTATAACCGCGCACCTGTGCTGAAAAGTCTTCTAAAGTGACAAGAGACCTACCTTCCTACCCAGAGAATATGGGCCCTCTTATTGACTCATGGAGACTTTGTGAGCCTGCTCAGATACTGTTACTGGAATCCTGCATGGACATTGTGTTTTTACAGCACCAAATGCTCTGTGAGAAATGTTTGTATTTGCATATATTTGCATATCATGGCAATGCAGCCAGAATGATGTGATATTTCTTGACTATGTTCCCCTGAGTCTTACTGCTTAGGACATTTGCTCTCTAGCTGTGGATACCTACTACCGAGTCTAAGGACCTGTTTGAAAAGAGCTGTCTCTGGGCCTTTGAGCCAAACGCACGTTTGTGAATGCAATGCCAGGAGTGGTCAGAGGGGATGATACCTGCCAATCCAGTGGAAGGATTGCTGCAGTGGTCCCTGGTGCCAGAAAAGAAAGGACATACAATAAAATAGAACACATTAAAATCCCAAGTCAAGGTCCAGTCACCCGTGTTCTTGTTACTGGTGGCTACCTTAGGCGCAACATTATGATGTTCTAATAAAATGATTAGATTTTGTGATTTCTTGTTTTGGTCATGTATGGCGTATACACTTTATTATAGAGGCAAAATGGATTGAAACGATTCACCAGGAATGTATCCATTAAAATGAAGAATGGTGCACTACAGTAATGCAGTGTGGATAAACTGACTCCTGTTGTTACATGGATACAGCACAGTAGAGGCAGTTAATGTTAACATGTTACCAGTTTGGTGCCTCTTCATTAGGTAATACCTCAAAAGATAAAAATACAAGTACGTGCAGTGATGTTTGTAGTATGTTTGCTGCCTATATATATATAAATATATATATATTATCATACTCTGTCCCCATTACTCTGAGTATCCATTGTAGGACCATTGTCCACCCAACCCTCTGCATAACCAGAAGTAGTTCCCTCCCTTCTCTCACCATAATCCAGTAGTAGCCTATTATCATTCCATTTCACTCAGTAGTGGTCCATTATCCCTTCTCCATCCCCTGCCATCCTCTCAGTTGAATATGAGGTCTCCTCTTATACACTGTGTTTTATCCCTCCAGTGGTACTTTGTCAAGTTTATGGATACTTATCTCTTATTCTGTGCTTTTAGAACTGATGTGAAAAAGATAAACTACTCCCAACTCAAACTATTTTTACAATTTGGCCATTTCACAGTGATCTCATGGTATTTTGCCTAATTAATATTTTCTATACTGTATCTTTAGATTGTAGGCTCGTTTGTGCAGGGCCCTCTTCACCTAAGTTACGTATGTCATACATGTTTTGCTAGAATTAAATGCTTGTCCTGTGTGAACATGTCAGTGCTTTATGAATAATTGTAATTGTATCTCCCTATATAGTTCTATATCAATCTAATACACACATATTGCCAGTAATTGGGAGTGGGTTTGTCAACATCATATCACTGCTGTGTGTACAGTATTCCCTTTAGTTTGTATAAGTATGTTTGGTTATTTCCAAAACTGGTGCTCAAACTGGGCCCCGCTCCCACCTTCCACTGCTAATGCTAGAGAGCTGGGATTCTTAAGCAGGGACTTCAGTTAGCACTCCTGAGCTAAGCCCTGCAGTGCAGGATTAGTTCTCAGCTGAGAGCATCAACCATTTTCATATGTATTGCAAGGCTTAACTCAGGAGAGCTAACAGAAGTCCCTGCTAAGGCACTTCCAACTCCATGTCATCAATAGTGAAGGTGGGGAGCAGACTCTTAAAGGACTGCAGAGTGTGCTGATTATAAAAGCTAGAATGCTGATTTCAATCCAAATTGGAACTTTTTAAAAAATATCTAATTTGCACCCTCACAGTTACCAACCAGACAGCTGGGTGAGCACTTTTACTGATCATTTGTACCCAAGCACCAAGTGGAAGGCAATGCTTCTCATTAGATATTAATGCTGCTCCATGAGAAGCATTGCAGGTGCAGCAATTGCCACACATGCACTCTGCCTCCCAATGCTTCTCATTGAGAAGCATTGGATTGGCCAGGAGATCATCCATACTGATGATCTCTTGATGGGTGGAGTGAAGCTGCAGCAAGGGAATGTCTTGCTGCTGAATTTGTAGTTAGCTAACACATTATTTTTACAGGTACTGAGGGAAAAATGGGTTTAGAAAGCTTACCAACATTCCAGTGTTATAAATAAATGTATAAATGTGTTTATAATGCTTAGTGTTGCTTTAAATTATCTACAAATCACAATGAAACAAAGGAACATGTATATATAATAAAGTTTGTATGTGGCCTAGAATGCTATATACATATCAGATATTTGATTGTTAAGTGAGGTCAGCAACTTATAAAGTAACATGTTTCTTTTTGTATTTAAGCTGTGACCAGAGAACCATAGTCAGTATGGTATTGATTCTTTAAACCATTATGGTCAACATGTATGTTGGGCTAGATTAAAGCACATGTTTCATTGCAATGTACTAGTTTTAGCAACTATGTAAACAACAAATGGTACTTTTTATAGGATTATTTTTTTTTTACATAAATTTGCCCCCAGGCCTCAATTCATAATTTTGATATGAAGCAATAAGAAATAATAACTTGAAAACATACTTTGTTCTCAGAGACAGTTGACAGCTAAATCCATCTTGTGAGAAGGATTAGGTCACAGTTATTGTTACTCTTAGATCTTATGTCCCTCTAATAATGATTTCTATTTTGTCATATCCACCTCTTGCATCTGACCACTTAGACACTTCCATTATCTTTGTAAAACCAACCTATCAATTATCAATACGTTCTTAGATAAACTTTTGTTTTTCAAGTACTAGTAGTAGACATGTTCAGTGAAATACAACTGCCCTATAGACATAACTGAAGTGATAGTGAGTTGACTGGTTGCGTGATATATTTAAACTACCTTGTAGTTGTTTGGATTTTGAGTCAGAAAACTAACAAAATAGTTTTTGGGGGAAAAAATATAAATACATTTAAAAATAGTAAATCACAAGATAACTTCCATAACTGATTATATTTATCAATATTGAGTTTGCCTGGAATTCAGTGTAACACTCATGTAAGGTAACTAACTGTTAGATCTGTAGATCAGTGGGAACACGCCGGCTGCTGGCGTTACTTGCCAGTGACATCCGCCGAGATGGAGAGAAGGTCACAGGACTTTCATATGCCTTATTCTGCTTGTATTCTGAGCTTGGCTCTTCGACATCCTCTGGAGTAACAGGCCTGCTAGCTCGCTGAAGTTCAGACTTGGAGAGCGCCCATGATCTACTGGCACTGAAGCTGCACCGTCCTCCGTTTGTGTTTGGAGAATCTTGAACATATCCACCTCTCTCCACCACTTTTGAGCAATTCCATGGAGCACTGACTCTCCTGGCTTTACGGACTGCACTAGCAGTTTTTGTACAAGAAATATTGTGAAAAGAACAATCCACAGTGTCCTCAGATGGCATTTCAGCCATTGTTCCCATATATAAACCAGGAGTACTTTCTGCACTTGCATGAGTACTCCTTATGCAACCACTTTTTCTTTGCATGTGTCTCTGTGCAGGCTTAGAATCAAGACCGAATGTTTTACTGATCTTTTCATTATTGTTAGAACTAGTGTTATGGAAGTGGCTCTCTGCTATGTTGGCAGCATTCACCTCATTGACAGATTTTGTTTCTTGCTCATCATGAATATAATTATTACTGTTCTCAGTGAGTGCATCTTCAATTGGATGGAAACCACATGGAGGATTTAAAATTGGGTAAACTGCTGGATCATTTTGTTTTTCCATTAATAGAGTATAATTACTGGGTGCGGAAGGTAGGGTCTTTTGTGGACTGGAGGATATACCTATGCATGTATGAGTGACTGTGCTTTGCTTTGTCTTCGTGACATAAAAATCATCAAATTCATCCTTGATTTTATATCGCAACAAAAATACCTTTTTTACTTTTTTCACTCCTAGGTGCCCAATTTCTAAAATGTTGAGAAAAAGAGAAACAGCTGCTATGCATTGCATAAATAGCATAAATACTGTCTTCTCAGTAGGTCTAGACACAAAACAGTCAACCACATTAGGACAAGGGTCTCTTTGGCACTTGTAAACAGAATTTAATTGAGTTCCATAAAGCACATGCTGTCCAACCATGAATCCAATTTCAACTGCAGATCTGGTAAATATATGTATCACATATGTACAGAGAAGTGAGCCACGTAATGGAGCTTTCTTGAGTTTTTTTTGCTCCAGTTGCCTGAGCTCACGTTCTAGCCGTCTACGATCTTCAGTCAACTCATACTCTACCCCTTCAAGCTCCCCTCTCAGCTGAACTCTCTTTTTGTGCCTTTCTTTTTCTAGTGCTCTTAACCTGTAAATGGCATGGCCCATGTAAACCAGAGATGGAGAGGACACAAAGATGACCTGCAGAACCCAGTATCTAATCAGGGATATAGGAAATGCCTGATCATAGCAAACATTTTTACAGCCAGGCTGGTCCGTGTTGCATACAAACTGAGATTGTTCATCATTCCAAACCTCTTCAGCTGCAACACCCAAGACAAGCATACGAAATATAAACAGAATTGTAAGCCAGATTTTTCCAACAATGGTGGAGTGAATGTGGACTTCCTCCAGGATGACCCCAAGGAAATTCCAGTCTCCCATCTTTAGTCAACCATCTCAACACTGCAAAGCACACAAAATATATTAATCATAATTAGATTGTATTTACCCAAGCTATTACAGTTTTAAGCACGAGTCAATGTGCTTTTGAATGTTCTGCACATGTTATATAATATCAAAGTATTTAACTAAGAAAGGTACATTAGGCATTTTGCTAGTAGATCCTGTGGTCTCAAATGTTATTATTACCCAACTTAATGGTGTTTATTTCATGTAATTAAGAAGCATTAAAGGCTGAGTTAATCTTGCTAAGAATTTGGTTAATGACTCTTATATATTAGAGCTGGAATTCTATCTACACAGTTATACCATATTTTATACAGAAATAAAACAGGTATATTCATATCTCTGCTTCGGTTTTCACTTATGTAAAATGGTGAATGATATTTTAATGTATTGTTAGACATAAGCTAAAACTGAAAATTTTAAGTATTAATATCTTATTTAATGGTAAAATTTAAAATATCATATCCTTTTTTTATAACAATGTCTACAAAAGTATTAGCTTAATGAATACACAAATGTTCTCTTAAGTCCCAAACTACAAAACCAAAACTTGAATTTAATGCTCCCTTATCACTAATGCTGGTTGAAACAATAACCATTTTTGATAATGCACGTCTTAATTCTAAACGTGTTTATTTTTGCCATTTAGCTGAATTGCTGATTTGTACAGGGTTTCTTTGTCTGCCATTTCACAACTGCACATTTCCTCTAATTCATCATTATTAATGTATCTATGTCCTCTTTCTCCTAATGATTCATTATATATTTACTGTCCACCTACCCTCTGTTACCTCTTTCAAAAATGATTGTTTAAAAAAATAATTTATGCATGAAATACGTTTTTGCTCCTTACAATGCGTATATAGAAAAACAGGTTCAACTTTCTCTAACTTGATTTATTTAAAGCCACCCAATTTATTATATATTGAAATGAAGCAAACCTCTACCGAGTAAAAAAGCTCCATTTATTGGGAAATACAAAATGCAATCATCTTACCCTGCTAGCATGAATGTACTTGTATACAATTTGGTTGGAGACAGCACCGGAGCATTAAAAGACCGGGAGCATTGAGTGCTGGGACCTGGGACGTATATATATATATATATATATATATATTTATTTATTTTTTTATTTACATTTTTCTTACTTAACAATTGTCAGTGTTTATACCCTGACTCTCCCACACACACGAAATCCATCGCATTTTATGGATATCTTCCATAAGAGATAAGAGGGTATAGACACATATCAATGGTTAAGAGATGTGTTACTTGTTACAGTAGGGTTTATGTATAAACAGTTATTGATGACAGGTGTCTATAACCGAAACAATCAAGTAAAGAAATATAATGTTTCTGCTGATTGTTCCACTTTTCAAACTTTGCCCCATACTTATTGGCATTGATTAAAAATGCTTCATTTAACTAGGAAGTAAAATAAACATAGTAATAGACCAGAATGAAAATGTACTATTGATAATGAGAGACCAATACCTACTAGGGTTACTACGTACATGGAGCTTAGTTAGAGTAACCTTGCTTTACCCTCTCTCCCCTCTCCCTGAAATAGATCCTAATATAATCCTAAAATAATGATTTTCTTTAAATGTATTATCTTACCTTATTATGTCACCATCTCTACTGAAGATTTTATATGCTTCCAATATGTCTGTGAAACAAAAAATAAAATGAATGTTTTGTGCAAGACAGGTAGAATTTGCAAAATCATTTCTCAGAAAAGATCTTTCTTTTTAAATAATCATTGTTTAGAAAAATCTGAATATCAATATAATTAGATTCATCCAGCCGTATAGTATCAATATGTCGATATGGAGAATGTTTAATACGTTGCTCAGTGAACCAGTCTGTTTTTGGCAAAGAAGAGTACAAGGTTGGAGCATTTTGACAAATTGATGACACTGATTTAGAGTGGGGCTTTTTTTTCTAAACGGTAAACTATGGTGTTTCAAACACCATATTATAGACCTTGTAGGCCACTGTTATACGGGTTTAAATACATTTCAAATTCAGCTACTTTTCAGTCAGTCATTTTAGCCTAATTGATGCAGCCCATTTCTCAATTCATCACAATTCAGTTATGTTATACAAAGACAATACGATAAAAATCCCACATTAACTTCTCTGTCTCGTATGCGATGACTTTAACTCTGTGATGAGCAATATTTTGTCCCACATTGAGGTAAGAGACTGGATGGGGCCAATACTGGAACACCGTGAGATGAGGAGGAGTGTTACATTGTGCACCATTTTACTTGCTGACCATCTTCTTAAAATTGCTGCCGCTGTATTGCACTTTTTTAAAAGTTACGTAGAAGTAGACATAGGTTTTCATTTTTTTTCATCTCCCCATAAAAGCCCTCAAAATTCTTAAACTGCAAAGAACATAACACCTATGTTACACATAGATATCTTGTTTTCGTGGAGTAAAATACAGCGTTATGGTATGGACATATGTTACATTTATTCATGGAATATAAAATAATGTATGGATATATGTTATATGAAATCTAGCTAATTGTGTCTGTGCTCATGCATGTAAACAAACAAAAGCAGCATAACCTGTGTACAAACTTGTATCAGTATTGCAATACAATAGAATGCATTAGATTATGGGACATTCATTTAAAGGGGATATTACCTTGTTGTTTTGCATTTGTCCAGGTGGGAATCCATTAGGTTAATCCTTCCTTTTGCTGTGAAGCTTTCATTGTGATTAGGTCAGGACAGAGAGATAGTGTTGTGCGTTCAACTTATAGTCAGCATGTAGAAATCGATGTGTGTACAGCTTGACATCGCTTCAAGCTAAATATAAATGGTTTTAACTAACCCATTGCACTCCAGAAAGCTGGTAGGGCTGGCTAACTTGGAAATGCTGGAGCATAGCAGGTACCGGTATTTATTAAGATATGTTCTCAGCTATACGTCCTAAGTCAAATGTAATATATTTCTGGCTTTAAATAAAATCTATTTAGTAGAAAGAAAGATAAGCTATAATAAAAAGACAGATATGTGTGTGAAGTCCAACAGAAGAAAAACTATTGCTTGCCTATTTATGTGCAATGTTGTCTAGAAGTCTTAGGCCACATTTAAAACTCCAAATGAAAGACATCCATCTGAGTAATAATTTGTAAGTGAAAAAATTAATCAATTATCAGGATTATTGACTTACTTGTGACCAGGATTTATTCACTGATCTCAGAATTGTTTTGAAATGAAAACAGAATTTAATTTTTTTGTGACAATAACAAATATTATAGCTGTTTGACAATTTTCCAGATCAGCATGTTTTGCCTACATTTTGCAGTTTGTTTTTTAATTCACTACAAGTTGGAACATAGTAAAATTAAAAATAAAATAAAAAAATATTAGATCAAATGAGCACATTCCAAGGATCCAGTCTTAGCTGCCTGCCATCAAGGTGGTACAGGCAGTGCTGTGGATAGAGGCTTGCTCAAGCAGGGAGGCCTATAAGGGCAAAAAGTCTACCCGAAGCAGACTGCACTGATGTTCTTCCTCAGGCAAACCCCTTACCAGACTGCACTGATCACCTCCCTTGCACTCCTTTGGCACCACTAGGGGGACGTGTCAGATGTGTCACTTTGTCACAGCACACAAGATGCTTTTATGGAGTACAGCAGACTAATTGTACTAGCAGACTATCACTAAACGTCAGGGAAGCGACCTTCCTTATGCTGCACAGTGCATACTGATGGAATTTGCAGGGTTATATGATGTCACACCTCGGACTTCCAGCAGCATCCAATCATCAAACCACATATTGTTCGCACAGTGTGAGTAGGACCATTCGTATTTACCATCCAGGCAAAAAGTTTCCGACCCTCCCCTGCATATACTCCTCCAGATAGACTCCAAGTCACTTACAACCATCCAGTCCCATCAGGGGAGAGCTGGCAGCCTTAGGCCTGGGGGGCAAATGCAGTCAAGAGCCCATTGCAGAGGAGAGTAAAAACACCTTTCCCATGTGAATTAAAGGGGGGGCAGTCACCTAAACAGACACACTCATTGACAGGCACACACACACTTGCTGATTTGACACACATTAACACACACTTGCTTATTTGACACACACTAACAAGCACACACTCACTGACAGGTACACACACACTCACTGACAGACACACACACACAGAGACACCGTTACAGGCATACTGACTCACACATACAGACACACACACACAAACTGGCACACACACAGTGACATGCTGACATACACAGATAGACATACTGGCACACACACAGGCCAACATACTTCAATGCACACAGACAGACATACCTGCACACACTGACACACACATTCGTACTGACTCACACAGAAACATACTAACACACAGACAGACATACTCATATACACACACACACACACACACACACACACACAAACTTTACACTTTTAAAGCCAGTAGACAGAGGCTGAGTAAGGGGACAGGGCTGTAGTGGGGAGCTGGAGGCTGGAGTGGGGGTAGAGGCTGTTATTGCGGGGTTAGGAAATGTAATGGGGGTATAGGGGCTGAAGTAGGTTGATGGCTACAATTTAGGAAAGGGGCTGTGGTGTGGGTGATATGGGTTGCAATTGGGGAAGAGGAGCTGTAGCTGGGGGCCATGGGTCTAAGGAAGGGGGACAGGAGTCCTGACACCATGGACATGTAGTTCCCGATGCCGGCTACTTAAATGTATTATTCTTTTCTTCTCAACCGATCTGTGAATAAAATCAAGTTTTAGTCGCTGGCCCCTAGTCATCAATCATATATCATATAATCATCCCTTTTTTTTGGTGCCACAGATCAAATTCAGTATTACAAGTCAAAACAATTATACTTAGCCATTGAGCTTTTCGTGTGGTTTATGATTCACTACATTCCATGGATTGGAGTTCGTAATTTAACCAGTCTCAAATTGGAACGTATTGCAGTTCGGAACAAGTTTACGCACACATCAGATACAGCCAACAAACATCACGCACAAACATACATATTACATACAGCCAGCACACACCACACATACATTACATACTATTTACCTTGAATACCCTCTTTTTATAATTGTAAAGTGCTGCGAATTACAAAAAAGCCAGCCCATGCCTTACACACTGCCAGCACACAACAAACACAGTGAGCACTCACCACACGCACATGACGCACAGCTGGCACACACCACGTATACACTAGGACTCTCAGAGTGAGGCACTCGTGGTATTTCACAATTTTCTTAATTTTGCAAATGATATCTTAATGGCAAAAACAACCATGCTGTGTTTATAGCGGAGTTAGAGAATTTTTCCAGATCAGCTATTTGCAAATAGCCCTGCCAATGTCCAGATAAGTTCTCTGTTTTTAGATTTTCCTTAAGAAAATTTATCAGGCAGTGGAATTCTTGAATCAGGAAGATTCCACAGATACTGGAGCAAGTTGTCTGGTTGGCTGATATTCAAGTGCACCATACAGGATCTTACCAGGGAGGATGAATATACACTCATCCTCATTGGTGAAATACTGGTTTTCATCTAACCTGTAATAGCCCACCAGTCACAGGCAGAAAGCAGTCATGCAGTGTAATGTGATGAAGCTGAAAAAGCTATCCTGTTTGATGAATGAAAACATAATTAAATAAATTCCCTGACTTCTTGGAGTGTGCTGGATCTGCCAGTGCTTTAACTTCCTTACAGGGCTTGTTGATGTTTTATAGGGTTCACCTAGGTCTTGATGCATAAAGCAGTATTTTGTATTGAACAAATATAGCCACCTCTGTGTAACAAACCTAGGGGGGATCAGCAAGAAATGGGTCAGCAACTTACCAAATGCAAAGTTGAAAAGATAGAAGACCTTATAGAACTTTGCTTACAGTTAGACAGAATTAGGAAATATCAGTACTAGGAGAACATAAATAAAAAGGCCTGCATAGAAACAAAATCAAGGTAAAAACCATGCGTCTTGAAAGCAGAAATCCAGAACATGCCAGGTAAAAACCAGAAAACACACAAAAGACCTATGTGATCATGTCTAATGGCTGGAAACCACAAAAGTCCTATGAAGGCAGGGGTTTAAAAAGGACCATGTCCTGATGATATCACTTTGTGTAAATTACACTCAAAAAAGAAAAGAAAATATGTGAAGGTCAACAACATGATGAGAGGAGGTGCTAGTGGCAAGGTTATTGCACCAGACGACTGTGAGTGTGGAAGAAGTGATGCAAAAAGAAACTTATCCACCCACCATACCACTAAACACAATCCTTTCTTATACATCATCAAACCCACTTATGGATATGATTATATATGCATACAATTTCCATATCAAAGCTAAAGCAATTATATACATTTAACCAAACCAAATATATCAGTTATTTTGTAGTTTAATCTGAAGGGCAGACAGAGTTGTGAGGCACAGTCTAATGGTATTAAAATAAAGGTAACATTGGCAATTAACGGTGAAGCACTGTAGCTATCACTAATGTTAGGCATAATCTGTCAATCTATCTATGATCTATTCTTTATTTTTACTTTACATTCCATATCTCCGTGCTTGTCTTCTACACTGGGACTGTTTCATTATCTACACATAAGTAAGTGCAATTGGTGAGAGTGTTGTTCACGTGTTCTAAAGGACAATGGTTGACATTAATTTGTATCCTATTAGGGTGTTATTCTGTTTGCAACCTTGCTCTGTAATTCAGTGAAATTAGTTTGCGGTTTTACGGCAGGCATGTTGGTTACAAAACACATAAACCTAATCTATATATATTGATTTTTATATATAGACATCCTGCCACTCACCAATTACCATGGCTGCTCTTTATCTGCATTCCATATGTCTGGGACCAAATATAGATCTAAATTATTCTCTCTACATTCAGTAACACTGGAATCCTTAAATATTGATGGGGACTTCAACATAAACTCAATGTCAAGCTGGATAATTACATAACTACATTTTATGGATCTTGTCATTAATGATAGAACTAATTTATTTGAGAACTAGTAATTCCCGAGTTTAGGGGCGGCACACAAGTCACATGCCATAAAGCCTTTTATGTGTTTTTTTTACCTAAAATTACACATTTTATGGAATAGGAAAATAGGAGCAAGATATAGTTCACTTATAAATCTATGGATATGTCAATACCTGCTTTGTTTTTCATATGATACATTTTGAATTGTTCTAATGACATTTCATGATGAGTGTTATACACAAGGTTATCCCTAAAAAAAGCGGAGGAAAGGTAACTTAATGAATGATGGATACAGCACAACCTATACAACTGGAGGTAGCCTCAATATATTTTTTTAAGTGTTTCCATGTTTGTTTTACTTTGCTGCTCTTACATTGTTATCTGTACTTGCAGAAAGAGATCTTTTTTTAATGCAGTTAATGGAGAGAACACTGGCAAGCTTCTCATATCTGGCACCTCTCCATTTCTGACCTTAGTTCTTGCACTTGATCTCTGAGTCATACATCTATAGACCAGGTGTAGAAGAAGTTGGTTAAAGGTTATCCATCCCTGCCAACTTTTAAGATGGCCTACACGGTAGACACTATTGGAACTGCAACAATTAGATTCCGCTTCTGCAACTCTAGCCACATCAGTTCCATACCATATTTTTTCTGTTCAGGCCACAAACTATAAGTAATTTTTTTTAAATTTTTTACTATCACTTTAATTACTTTGCCATTAGGATCATATTCTAAATTGATTGCAGTAGAAAAAGGTTTTAACTTAAAGTGCTAAAAATGCAAAGATACTTTCAGT